GGGGCCAAACACCTGATGGGGGCCATTCGCCCCATCGGGTGTTGTCGGCCGGGAAGCGTATTGTAACAGTCATTGTAACAGCCCTGCTTCCCGGGTGACAATCCGACACAGCCGAGCTTGATCCCCATCTAAAACCATAACCACTAGTGCCTATAACTTCGTGAGAAGTAGGCTACTAGAAGAATAAAAGATTATCTTTAGTAGATATAAAAACCGAAGGAGATATAAGATTATGCGGACGGTATCGTTATCGGCGCCGGGTAAAAACGGTACTAAGAAAATCGGTATTTCGCGATACCGCGACGCCCTATATGGATATAACAAACTAAATAGTATTAAGCTCCTTAGCTACGCCAAGGGTAATCTTATCAAGCGCCCAGCCCGTATACTGACGCTCTAGGGCGGTTGACGCTGGCAAATCCGGCTGCCGCCAACGACGCGATTATCTACTAATCACACCTTAGAAACGCAAACTGAGCATATCACTCATCTCTCCTCCTTAGCCGCTCCGTCGGACACTAATCAGAATGCGAATCGGACGCGAATTCACAAAGTTGGTTTTGTTCACCACCGTCGATTTTGGGGCTAAAAGTTTAACTACCGAATTTCGACACCGGAATGACGCTTTCGTAGCTTGCGTGTCGGAAAACGTACGGAGTCATACGAAAAAATGCTCTCCGGGGTGTGGTGCGGGCGTGGGAGTGGTCTTTGTAGCTTCGGGGGTCTCCCGGCCACCGGGGCAGGTTTCGGCCAATCAGCACGTAGGGACGTGTGTAAGACGCTGTACCATCACGAGCGTGACGCAAAACGCGCAGGACTATACATGAAGTCACGTTCCGGGTTGCGGTGCGGTAGAGGAATGGCTTTTGTCGCGCCGGGCCCCCCTGCCGGGCACCGGGGCAGGTTTCGGGCCATTAGAGAAACCGGGAAGGCGAGGTTTTCGAAGTAACGTTGGCGGTGATGCTGGTGCTGGCAGGCGTCCTTGGGGCGGCGCGGTTGCTCGCCGCCTCCTTGTTGGAGCAGACGGTCTTGGGCTTCTGGCGATAGGGAACATTCTTCTGATTGTACAGCTGCGCGATCACTTGGATCTAGCTGCATGCACACCTCGAACAGCTCCTGCTTGAGCCGGTGATGCTCTCGGATGGCGGCATGATTGGTAATGATTGTATTCAGGTCGTTCGGTGAGGGGGTTGATTTTGGCCAAGAGGCGGACCAACCGCACATTCTCAACTTCGTGAGACAGTGAGACAGCTCAGAATATAGTGCATCATCGGTGTGAAGGGCGGCGTTAAACGTGTCCATGCTGCGGGCAAGATTTTGGCCCGCATCGAGCGGCCCCGAGCCAACGGTAAGGATGACAAGGCCGAAATTGGCGAGGTCTTGTCGTTAAGCTTGGGCGAGAGGGGTGTGGGTGTTAGTGTCGTATTGTACCACATCGAGGATGCCACAGCCGTTACAGCCGTTCAGGCAAATGCGATTCTTCCCAGCCGCGAGGATTTTGCTGGGGTCGAGGACTCGACCCGCTAAGCCGGAGTTGTGAATGGTGGTAGCGGTGATATTGACTTGTCCTATATACGTAAGGGTTTCGTCCCCTACCCTTCTTTTCCCCAAACAAATGCTGGTCACGGCTCTTAGAGAGTCGCGCCCTCTTCCACCGGGATGGCGATGACGACCTTCAGTTTACTAGGAGTGAGGAGTGGGCGGCAGTGGATCAAGAATCGTGTCATTTGGCGGCAATCGGCCGGAATCTAGGGTGTCTGTCAGCTTGAGGAAAGTGGCCACCAGAGGCAGCCGAGCTCACCGGTCGGCATTCATAGCTGAGAGAGCGGCAGTGCTCGCAGGGACCATTAGACAAGTCACATCTGAGTCGAGATTTGTTGGGAGGGCCTGAAGAGAAGCGCAGAAGTCACAAAAGAAACAGTGGTCTCGAGGGAAACGATAAGATGGTTCGTTGTAATGACCATCAACAGGTCTTGGTTCCACCCAGATGATGCCTGCCATCCCACGATAGCTACAGGCACAGGGGCCATGTGATGTCTGTTCGTGCTTCGGGGAAGGCCTGAGCAACGGACGCCCGCGTACGCAGCTGGTACTCGAGGAGCCGCGGCGGCGCGGGGAACTCTGAGGGCTTGATGCCGTTCAGCTGCCGCTCAATCTGCTCGTAGTCGTTTGTCTGGTGCCAATCGTTGATCGCCCGCGCCAGACGTCCGTCATATAGCGTCTTCCTCAGCGTGTCTGCCTTGCGGGCGTACTTGTCGTATCGTCGCCGCTCTTGGATTTCTTTCGGCCTCGTCTGTAGCGTCCATCCCTTCTGTCGGATCTTGGCGACTGCCTGGTTTTTTTTTCCTTTCGCCTTTAGCAGTTCCTGGTTCTGGGCAATCTCTTTCTTCTGCGTGTTTCTGAGCTCGGTCGGCGGATCCTGGCGGTACATAAGCCGGGCCATCAGTTACGTGAAGTCTCTCTCTGGCACGCTCCTAAAGACGATTTCCTGGAAGTCGGTGCCGATATTGTCTGGGTTAATAGAACTGGAGATCGGCCCGGCCCCGAAGGTATCCACCATCGAGTGATTGCGCTCCGCGGATGTGAGAACCTCCGCGAACCATTGTTAGCCAACGGGAGAGGAGAGGTCTGGTCTTTTCAGGTCTGCTGACATACCTTTGAGTTTCTGTCCGCTTCCGAGGCACCGGTCATACTATTCCAATATCTTCTCGTAACCCAGCGCCCGGCAGAGGTTGATCAGAGACTGCTGCGCCTTGCGGTATAGAAAGGCTTTGTCAAGGGCGATGTCCAGAGCCCCATCTTGGACGTCTCGAAATGTCGGCGGTCGAGCCTATCTTCCGTCCAGGGAATATCCAAGCTCTTTTCGCCGACAGGGGCCCTTGATCTCCTAAAGCTGCCGCCGGTGCACGAAATTGTCTTTGAAGGCGCCGTCAGCGAAGGCTAGGCTTTCGATGTACGTAATGGGATCGCGAAGGAGCGTCTTCTCCTGTTGGAGGTATCGAGGCCGAGGGTATGGGCGCACTGTGACAACCTGTTAGCCTCCTCTTTTGAGTCACATACGAGACCGCTACCGCACTCACGTTCATGAGGGCAGGGCAGGCGGTCTACCCCTTCGGCGGCGGAGGATAGACAGTAGGGACCCAGCCCGTCACATCCTGACGTAGTCTGACCACTTGGCAGCAGATTTCATTAGGGAAGGTTTGCCGAGTGAAAATTCCGCATCGTTCATCATGCATACTTGTGCCGCCGGTATTTCACAGAAATCAATCAATTCAATCCCTCCCATTCCGCACTGCTGACACAGGAGACATCAACCACAGACTCAGGATCTCTGAGGTCGTAGCAGTGTTTGGTCGTGACATGGAATGATTCGGTGCGTTCACCGGGGTACTTGCTCCGCTGCAATAAGAATCTGTGCTCAATGCCTCCCCCAGAGGCTTTCACAGTACCGATCGCCCTGAAACTCTCCCACGCCCTGGCTTGCCCAGATGCTAACACCCTATGTTTATTAGGCGTCCGGTGAAGATGATCCTCTCCGGCCAACCCGGCAACAGTCCGAAGCTGCTCTTCACCAAACTCGTTGCCCAAGTCATCTCACAATTGTGTCAAGGCCTTCCACCTGCTTCCACCGGACTTCGACAAATGCTCCGCCGAGTACCCGCCATCCTGGGCAGCCTCGAGACCCTTCTTCCTCAATTTTTTGGGCCGTCTTCAATTGTGTGTCGAAGCTTCCTCCGACTGCGGGCTCGAGCATAAACGCAAACGAATCGAGAGCATTCTGCAGATTCGCAGTCAAGACCCACTCCGTGTACCTCTGCAGTCGGTGGCACATCAAAAGGGCATCAGTATGAACCAAACTACACTGGCATCCTAGCTCTAGAATGGGCCTCCATACTGTCTGCTCAATTGATAGAAATTCAAGAGGCGGAGCTAAGATACACACAACCACGGGAATTACAATGATCCATCTGCAATACTAAGAGGAGACTTCGCCTGTTATGGACATTGGAAGTGTCGTTGCAATGCTGTATGTATTGGAAAAGGGCACAAGAAGTGGAATGTTTCAGCATGTCCATTCCACCGAGCCGTGTGTCGTCTACCAAACGTATCTCATTCAACCGAACTGCGTGTCGTCCACCAAACTCATCAATGCTTTTTCTGCTGAGAACGGGGGCCATCGCAGGCCCATCGTGTCATGATGTTCGCGGATGCCAACCATTCAGTGTCTGTGCGAAACAGAGTTGACAAGATAACCGACCCTACTCTTCTCGCTGAGATTGAGTGATGAGGGCCCGCCAGTCGCCACTCACACAATGCCCAACAGCCCGAGTCTTCACATCTTATGCCTCGCCTCCATCCAAGTGCGAACTAGGGAATCGCAAGCGCCACAGACAAGACAGCCTCCGCGATCGCAGACAGGAATCTTCCAAATCTCGGGCGAACAAGTCAGTCCTGGCTCACTTCATAATGCTGCCCCTTCACCTGCCGCCTTCTCTACTAGTCAAAGCAATCTAGAGGATGTGTTTGGAGACTACCTTGGTGACAGGCTCTCAAAGGAGGCCGTTGAGCTGAATCAGGATTACTGAAAGAGACGGGAACATCAGTATAACGGGAGGAAGACGAAGACTTGCCCTGAGACTCTCACAAAGTGGCTCAGATATAACGCAACCTAGTCTCTCACGTCCATGGGGGTATACCCAGTCCATTTTGAAGTTGGAGGTCGCCTAAGTGCAACAAAATCGCCAATCCAGGTTCACTTGCCGAGACTACACGTCAGTGACACATCTTCTCAGCAGAATCTTAATATCTACTTTCGAGGTGTGAAGCAGCTGGTAATGCTATAGGCTGACAGTTCCGACTCGATGTTCGCACTTTATTTCGGCTATCCCACTTCCAGCGCTAGCACGGTCGATACCGTTAAGGAGAACCGCAAAGTAGTCACACGAGATCTCCTAAGTTCGACGGAAGGAGACCGATACCGTTAAAGGCGACCACCAAGGCAGTCACACAAGAGCTCCGTAGTTCGACGGGAGGCTGTCGATACCGTTACCGCCAAAGCAGTCACACGAGATCTCCGAAGTTCGATGAAAGGGGATCGAGTTGAGGAGGATTGCCGCCGCCGTTGTATCACGAGATCTCTGCTGTTCGACAGGAGGAGGTCGACATTGTTAAGGACTACCGTCCTCACACCACGAGATGAGCCGCCCAAGCCGCTCGAGGTCCTTCAGAGACCGGATCTTCGAAGTGCAGCCTTTGTTTGCCTAGGCACTATCGATCCTCGATGTCAATACTGATGCTATTGTGTCTGACCTGGATGACATCAAGAGTGTTATACAAACATACTACGCCCCCCTCGAAGATAACTCCTACACGGAGTACCTTGATTGCCCTGGTATCGGCAGCTCGAAACGCCACCTTATGCTCGCTTCCTTCCACGGCTCGAAACGCCGCCCCATGTCGTCTTCCTTCTCTCGCTCTCTAACGGCTACATACGCCTTCTCAAAGAGCTCATGACTGTAGAGTGTCGATTCTAGGTGGAATTTTCTCTCAACCGACGATATAGCCGCGAGTTCGTGATCAAAGGCAAAGGCTGAAGGGCCTCTGACTTCGTACTAGCCCTCGCCGTTCTTGATCTCTTTTCGAGAAACCTGGCAGCTGAGATCTTGTGAACTGAACAGCATGGCCTCCCATTCAAATCGAGGCACCTCAGCTTCGCGCTTTCTACGCCCTCCGCTTCGTCGAACCAACCAATCTTATGGGGTATGTAATTGGACATAACGCATTCTCGCGGTGTGACAGCGGCGGCGGTCCCCCTTAACGGTCTAGGTCGCCTCGCGTCGAACTTCGGAGACACAAGCCGTCCATAAGAGAAGCCCCCGACCCTACCGGCTCGATAGGATATGTTGACCATCCAGCGACGTCATGGGCATCTTATTCTCTACTTTCTTAGGCCAACTCGGAGGTTCAAAGTATGGGGGCCGTCAAATCTGTCAACATGTCCGTAGACAGCTAAACAGGAAGTTCTTCACCATCTCATATAATAGCCTTTATCGACAGTAAGAAGTCGGGCGCCCATATACATTTGATCATGGAACACGTTACTCTGAGTGACATGGGCAATAAAGGCACTCCGTGAAGGAGTTATCTACGAGGAGAGCGTGACATGCTTGTGTCACAGTTGGATATTGAAGGTCTATCTCTTCGTCAACCGATATCGATGGATATGAAGTGTTTCTTTGCTATCCTATCTGACGAGATATTGTAGAAGGAACCTCTCCCTAAAAACCGACGTGGTTGTCCATGAAGACGTGGTGTCTGTCCTTTCTCTTATGGTTCTCCTTGGAGGCCATCAAGGGCTTCAAAACTCTTGTGGGTATCACTGAAGTCGAAGTCATCCAAGTCAGAGACAATGGCACCGGCATTGATATCGAAGATCGACGGCGCCTGGGTAGAGGCTGCACTTTCAAGATCCGGTAGTTGGAGGACCTCGAGCGCCTGGGCGGCTCCGATCGTGACCTCATAGTGACAGCGACTCTGAACAGCTTTGAGAGCTGGGTGCGAACAGAGGACCATATCCCTAGTCCACCTGTAGACGAAGGTCGTTCTCTAGGCAACCTATTCAGCCCAGATCGACTGGACCCAATCGACTATTGCCACCCTTCTACTCTTATATATAACTAGGATAGCGTAACGGCCTCCCGTCAAGCTTCGGAGATCTCGTTGTGAGAAGCGGTAATCCTCCTCAACCACACCGACTCCCTTTTGTCGAACGACGGAGTTCTCGTGGTATAAGGATAACAATTCTCCTTGAGGATATCGACCGTCTCCCGTCGAACCACGGTGATATCATGGTGTAACCGCGGCGACGGTCTTCCTTAACGGTGTCGCTCCCGTCCGTTCCCCTCAAGAGGAATACCTACTGTCACGGCCACAGCTGGGACAGTGCAGGACACATCTGTCCAAACCTGTCCACACCTGCCATAGGAAGACCAGACTATGATTGGCCGACTACTGTACCGTATAAAGTCCGCCGATACGGGACTAGTGTACGTACCTGATTGGCTTCTGTAGCAGGTGGAGGCTTGGTAGAGGGAAGCTTGGCGGACGTGCGCGCCATATAAATAAGCGCCAATACGCTCCTTTCTTTCTCTCTTTCCTTTTTCTCTTCAGATTTGTCAGAGAGCTTTGGGGTGGGATCGTTAGACGGAGAGCCAGAGGGTTTTAATACGTATCTTGATTGTATAAAGCTGTCCTTGAGACATCGACTTCTCGCACTATTGAGGGCCTCTCTAGCAGTGCGAGAATAGAGGTCCTATTTATCTCTTTCTGTGTATACCTTATGGGGGCCGCCTTGGCATTAGGGGCCGTTAGCTCCATGGGGGCTATTCGCCCTATAGGGGCTACTCGCCCTAATCGCCCTATGGAGGCTATTCGCCTGATGGGGGCCACTCGCCCCATGGGGTGTTGTCGGCCGGGGAGCCCGGGTGACACTCCAGGTACACACACCGCCACTGAGACGGACTTTTACGGATACGTATATAACCGTCAAAACGTATTTTCTCCCTTCAGGTACATGTCATCAAGACGCAATTCCCACGGTCACGTATTATATTATCAAGACGTACGTTATTTCTTATCAAGACGCAATTCCTACGGTTACACACAGCACTGCCCAGACGCACTTTCTTCGGTAACGTAAATAGTACCTCAAATGCACTTTCTTCTGTAGCGCACAGTAACACTGAAATGTATCTCATCTTGCTACGCATAGGGCACCTCACATACACTTCCCTCTGCGTATAAATCGTGACCCCTCGGGCCCCAGGGGCTCCACTCCTGCGATATTATATAGTAGTACTAGGCTTGAAACGCTACGTGTTCACCGAATCCATAAACAGCTACTGGAATGTTCGTATTGTTCCCATTGGTTATGGAGCTGGAGCTGCCGGTGAGACCCGAACTGTTCCGCGGTGCTACGGACCAGCTACCATCCACCCACCCACCCCTATCAATGTCTTTGGAACCCACCGCAATGAATGATCTATTCGAGGGGGTGCGGAGCTCGGTGTTAGTCGTGGTATCGGTAGCTGGATGGGTATGCCCTGGTAACCGTGGGTTTGGAATGCCAAGCCATATTCAAGGTAATAAGTAGCTGACTGCCTTGCTCGTGGAAGAGAGTAAAGTTGATAAGGGCATCGAACGCGCTCCTGGAAGGTAGAGGTGTCTATACGTCGGCATTAGTGGCCAGGCTTGAATCCACCTACGCGATCCCGAGGGTACCTTGATTCCTACGGGTGGCGGACCACGGCGAGTGATATGGAACTTCGTTATGGTATGTAATGACTGCCATCTTTCATAAGTCTCCTCGTTTCTAGTGACGACATGTGTCACCCGGGCTCCCCGGCCGACAACACCCCATGGGGCGAGGGGCTCCCATCAGGCGAATAGCCCCTATGGGGCTAACAGCCCCTAAGTGCCAAGGCGGCCCCCACGAGGCACACACAGAAAGAGATAAATAGGACCTCTATTCTCACAGTGCTGGAGAAGCCCTCAACAGTGCGAGAAGTCGATATCTTAAGGACAGCTTTATACCAATCAAGATACGTGTTCAACCCTCTAACTCTTCGTCTAACGATCCCACCCCAAGGCTCTCTGACATGGAAGAAGTGCATTTCAGAGTCTCTCCACGCTCCTGAACAAAGTGCGTTTCCGCCTTTATGCCTATCCGCACTGTATACCTATAGGAGCGTTATCCGTATGTATCACCATAATCGAAGTCGTCACTAGCTTAATCTAGCTCGCGATCTATATTAGGGTGTCTAGTGTCAGTAGGTACAATCGGCTAACCACCAGAGGAGCCACGGTAAAGGGTATCTCCTATGAAAAACAGTTATCAATGGCCGGCGGCCACGTACGTGTACGCACCCCTAGAGACAGCTAGAGAGAGGGCGGCTGGTGGGAGGAGAGGAGGAGGAGTAGGAGGGGGATAAGTAGGAGGATGGACAAGTGGTGGTGGCCATTGTGGTGCTATTTTCCTCACCGGCAACATTAACGGCGATAAAGGTAGCGCTATAGATGGGATGAATGAACACGCCGTGACTTAAAGTGTCCAAAGGACAGTTCGACGGGCGTCATATCATATGATGTTTGCAAGAAAGCCACATCCCATCCCGGCTGCGGACCCTGGTCAGCTTGTTCCCATACACGAACAGATTGGGCACCACAGCCAGTTATGGCGGCGACGATGGACGTGGGCCTTTGAGCTGAACCCATGACCGCCCGAGCTGCTATACCTCTCGACCTGTGCAAACTGCATTTAGCTACCACTACCATCACTTGTTCTACGGCAGGGAGTACCCGACGCCGGCCTGCATATCACAATGTGGAAGCCTGGATCGACGATCGCGGCCCTGCTCGGAAGGCTTGTGGAGGTAACAACTGGACATCATCTTTTGTCTTGTATACACGTCTCTTTGTGAACCATGCACAGTTTTGGATGATAGTTTACCCGATCAGCTGAGATATGGTAACATTCGGGGAGGTCTGGTGAGAAGTCATGACTGCTTGTTCTTTACGACAGCTGGCTCGTTTAGCTGCTCTGATATTGGACAAGATATACTGCACAAAGCTTTGAAGCTCGTTTCCTCCCTCATTGGTGACTGGGTTATTCCCCATCAGTCTGTTTTAGTTCACTTGGACGTGCGATGGTGAGTATCGGCATCTCGAAATCTTGTTCTGCCGATCATCCAGCCCTGACAAACCGTTGGTAGGAAGGACGCTGAGACTCCTGGTACATCGAAAGAAAGACCCAGCACCTTTCTATGATGTAAATGAGCATGGCCGACCGCTGAGTGGTGCAAATGCCACCGCTGTGGCGGGAAGTGAGGTCAATGATAGCCGTGGAGACATGCATCCTCTTCCACACTCCCTTTGGGCGCCACTTGAGCGAGATGGAGGCCCTTGTCGACCGGCGGAACTTGGGAGGCAAGGGCGGCGAAGGCCTGGACGACAGTTGTCCGACGTAGTGAGGACTTGCCAGACTGGCTGAACCTCCTGAGTATTGTGTCCGAAATGAATTTTCAGTGAATAATATACGTGCGATGCAGAAAAGCGACAGGGCCTTTTTTCACACCTCGGTCGTAGCTGGTCGGCCTGAGGCAGGGAATAATGGTGGCAAACACTTTGTCCCGGTTGCGCACGGACAAAAAGCAGCATTTTCCTGCTCGTTTGTCGAGCGAAGTATCTATTCGAGATGCACCATCTGGAGCACTATGGTTGTCACTCTGCAAGAGGAAGAGTTGTCCCTGGCCAAGGAGTGGGCCGATGCGTGTCGCGCCCAGTCCGGCCTCTTCTCACAGCTCTCGGGTGACCCCGTAGATCCAATGCACTGGTTGTCGAGGGGTGTGTGCTACCTGAGAAACCAGTGCGACCAGAAGCGGCCGGGATGGGGCAAGTTCCTGGGTGATCACGGTCTGTGAGCTTCAACACCTGCTGCTTCGTGGCTTCACATCGCTCTCGTTTCGCAATGGCCCGAAACTTGTTCAAGCTTATCTAGTTCAGTGGAATCTTGATCTCGTTCAGTCATCTAGCGAAGCGTAGCTGAACTAGTATTACCGGCTTAGATGGACAAACAGCTACGCTCCGGATTGGCCAACCCCTACCGGAGCTTATCGATTGGCTGTTGAAAAGAGCAGGAACGTGATCTTGACCGGATCTCAGTTATTCCGCTCCTGTTCTGTCCTTGCCACGCCCGCTTCGCCGTCGCTGTCAACTCAGCTTTCAACATAACTTCATCAACAACTTGATCAACAACTCCACCAAATCATTATCGAACCTTCATTAAACAGTCTCAGTCTGTTTGTCTAGCAATATGCATTCGTCTGTGAAAAGCCTCTCTCAGAAAAAACCTCTGTGAGCGAAGTTGTGCAGCCTCAAAACTAACCGATTTGCAGGCCACTCAAATCGCCCTCGGTAGTCTGTAACCTTCTCCCCCCTCTACACTCAGATCCTTGGCCCTTGAATGCCCTTCTGGCGTTGGTGTTGGTCAAGAAAAGGTGGAATTGTGGCATCACAGACCCTGGTCAGACCGAACCCTTCTCTTCCCCTCGAATCTCTCTCCTCGAAGCAATCCTTGGCCCTTGGAGGCTCTGCTGGCGTTGGTCAGAAAAGGTAGAGCTTTGGCATTACAGACCTTGGTCAGACTCGTAGTCAAATCCGGCGTGGTAAGACCCAGCGGGTTCGTTGGTGCGTCCTCTGGACTCGGGCAGTCGTTCGTCGTGGTTAGTCGAGCATAGGTCTCTGTGAATGTGTCAGCAAAGCATATCTGTTGGCTATACACTTTGTGGGCGGCCATGGTAACGTTCTTGGGGCCGAGTGCGCCCCCAGGCAATTAAGAGCTTCGCTAGTATCTGGGGGGGTTTACACCGCACAGTCCATTTTTAGAGGAAATCGAACAGCTCTTTCTCTGCTTCTTGTTGATTGCGACCAAACCTTTCTGTTGCCGTGCATTGGACTTGACCTTTTCGAGCGTTCTCGTCGGAGATGACTTGAGCTTCTTTATATCCCGACCCCGAAGGACATGAATGCGGAATGCTGGATGCTTTCCGACGAGAACACCAGCACCGCCGGAGCCACGAAAAAGCGCAGAATTGACGCCAATAGTTTTGAATTCTGGAAACTTCAGGGCCTCGGCGGCGCCGACTCATCGCTCATTTATCTCTTCATTCATTCATTGAATCGTACGCCTAACTCGATCTGCCTCATCTCGCCCTGTCAGCACGCTCCTGGCGGGCCTGGCTCAGCATACACTTCCAGAGGACCGAAGAGACACTATTTCTCGAACATTCTGCTAATCTCAGTCTTTTTCTCGGCCTTCGAGCTAGAACAACTGTTGCTGTTGTTGTTATCGCTACTGCTGCTGCTGGATTGTCCATTGCCTGGTGTCTCGGCAACTTTACCGTGCCACTACTCTTCAAGACGAAAGATGCTCCTGTCTACGCTCCGGCGTTTGCGGTTATTGCTCGACATTTCCAACGACGTCTGGAATCATCAATCTCGCCGACGACCCCGTTTCTTTTCTTTGAGTGTCCGCGGGCTTGGGAACTCCGCTAAAGACCGAAATGGAGCCTCCTTCCTTCCTGTCGTTCCCATTTGCCTCTCAGATCGTTCACCATGAGTTCCGGTCAGCTAAATACTTGCGACGGCAGCTTGAGAACGTCGGGCGGAGTTGGCGTAAGTGACGTCGGCGCTCAAGGCAAAAAGAAAGAACCCATAGAGTTCAAGATCGTGTGTCAAGGCCCACGCGGGGAAATTGTGCGTCAAACCTCACGGCGTGTCACGGTAGGGTCTGGGCAGCTGTGCCTTTTGTTACTGAGTACTGTGAGAGGCTGTGCTGTGTCTGGTATCCATTCTGGGAGTATATGTTAAAGTTGTGCGCGACGGAATGGTCCACGGGCGATCTCGAGGGAGAAAGGGTCGACTCGGACTCTTCTCCGGCTTTTACCCCGTTGATGCGATTCGATATTTGTTAGTGTCACAGATTTCTTTGAAATCTTTCCTACTCTGGTGGATCTCGTGGTCAGGGCGACTGCACGACGAAGTCGACGTTGTCTTTGGGACTAGTCAGGGTGAGTGATTTGTTGTTTGCAAACGAGCAAGGATGGGCGTGACTCCAAAGGGCATCTTCTTCCCGCCGGGGGATCAGCCACCAGCCCGCGGGCACGCTAAGGTCGACCAGATCCAGCGAAGGTGGTGAAGCGACCCGAATGGCTCGGTGTGGGAGCCACAACGCGCGGTTGTAACAATGAACAACGTCTTGCTCTTGGTGGGGATGGGCATCGACATGTCAACATCCGCCAATGAGTCACCTCAGACTTTCTTCTGTTGTGAAAGACTACTGCCTATTACCCTTTGGCATCAACACTGTGGAAGCCTGCAACAACTTCTGCACAGTCTGGACGCACTCCTGCCAGGTCAACCTTCAAAAGAAAGCCCAAAGGCACACCAGCTAAGAAAACGCATGCGCAAATCAAACGCACCAAGACAGCGATCAAAGCCAGCGAGAAAGACGACAAAGACGCGGAAGACGATGAAGGTTCGGGGAGGGCGCGGCCTGGCAACCACAAGGTTTGCCTATAGAGCATGAGAAGAAGCAAACGTTGGTATGCGACCGGCAGTTTTATGTGCGAGGTGAAGAGGACGGTGTGATTATGGACCACTCGAGGGCCAGTTGAACGCGGACCGACTCTCATGCCCAAAATGGACATTTAGCGCTCGAGGCCAGCAGACGGAACAGCGCGTGGGCGTGATCACTCGCCCTGAGTTTGAGCTTCTGCACATCGGGATCTACCCTTACAACGCGCCACGGGAGCACCAAGCCGCAGCAGACTCATTCGCCAAACTGCTCAATGCCGAGGGCGGCAGCGCGTAAGTGCACGGCGACGTGCAACCGCAGCACTGGAGCAAGGTCATGGCAAAGCTTTACATCTTCGCCGATCAAATCCTTCTTTCGCGCTTAAAGGACGACATCATTACGGTTATGTTCCACGAGAAGGCTATCCACGCGGTGCGCTTTCACTCGGTGACGAATCGTTATCTGCTCTTCTGGCTTCTGCAGAGAGAGCATCCAGGGTCTGCGATTTCTTGCGAAGCTGCTCGAGGCGCCATACGTTCAGGATTTGCCGTCTTGAGCTATCAGTGTGCTTATGGCATCAAACGACAGTTCAAACCCAGACAGCCCGGGGACCTTGGAGTTGCTTGAGGACGTTATGGTGGAGCCTTTTTCAGGTTGTGGTCGACCTTATATTCCGACAGCAACCGGGAGTCATCCCAGATCTCACCAAAGTCTTGGAACCTCTCGTGGTTGAGGTCGGCCCCGACCTGCTCCTCTAACATTTCCTTACGAGACTCGCGGGGAGCGCGTGCACGCATGTGGTCCTGGCTTCCGGCCTTCCCAAGAAATCCAAGCCCAAGACTGTGGGTCCGCGGACGGGCAACCCCGACTCCCAAGACGACGAAGACGACGACGATCTCGATGACGACACTCAGGACACAAGGGGTCTACTCTCGGCCGCGCTGACGCTCGCAAGCAAGGCCGCGGCGGCGCCAGACCCCGCAGAATAGAGACAAGCGATATTGATTGATGAATTGTGGATGACGTCGGAGCGGTCAATTGCAGGGCCGCATCCGAGGACTGGGCGGGCACCTGTATTGACAATGTCAGCAGGCTTTGCGGCCTGACGGTGAAAGTGTATAAAGAATGATATGGCTCCGTGAAAATCATGGGTTTCTCGTCCTGGCTGGTCTTCAGTCAAGAAATCGTTACGTGGAAGCCCTTGGCGTGACCATCTCCAATGGCGCTGATTTTCGTGCCAGTGCCCGGCGCTTTTTGGGTCGGGTTTCAGGGAAACACTGCCCCAGCCGACAGAGGACAAGCTGGATATACATCTTTCAACGCAATCGGAAGCGCAGTTGTTGTGGCATGACATGCGCGTGGCGGCACACGGCCCGGGAACAGGATTTCCAAACAAGGCCTGCTAGACAGCGACCCGAACAAACAACCGCGGCGAATCACCTCTCTACATGGCAGCGTTCGCTTTGGTGAGCTATGCTGTTTACAGATAGCAGTTCCCAATATAACCTAGCTGGATTTCTTCCAGTAACTAATGAAACGCTGTCCTTTTCGAAATTCGACGACTACCTCTACATCATACGATCAGTCCACACTCGAAAAACAACAAGCACTAGAGTCACTCACATACACACCTTGAGGAACGATTGTCTGGCCGGTATATGGCACCCTAGTCACGTTCAGTGAGGATGTTGTCGTGAAGAAGAGGGAAGACACGGTCGAAATATTCATTCAATAGTTGCTCATGAATTGGCGAAAGAAGAGGGTCTATCGTCCAATGCGTCTTCTCGGACTGAAAGATGTCAAGCAGGTCCCGTCCTGCGCCAGTTAGACACAATGCTGCACAAACTGGTTCGTTCGAGCGCTTCTGCTCCTCGCTTGTGGTCCGCTCTCCTCACCGACAGCACCAGCACCCTCCAAAAAATTCAACAGGAAGAGGTGGACAGCTAGCTGTGAGGTTGACTTGGATGCAACGCTGGTATTCGTTGTGTCGCTCAGTATTTATTGCTTTCCTGGCTACGTTGTTAATTGTTGCGAATTCGAAGGGCCATGAGCGACGCCGACGCTCGAGATACGGCGATCCACCATTGGCAACGTCCAAAAAGGTGGACGATGTGTTTACGTACGAGTCCAGTCGAGGTGGTGGCCGTGATAGAAAGTTCCTGGCCAAACCTCAGCATGCGGAAGAAGCGAACGAAGCATCCTACATGGCTCTCTACGACGATCTTCGACTTCCAAAAGCTTGGGCAGAATGGGGCCAGTATTCTGATCGAAAGTTCATGGGAAATCCATCTAATATCGAAGGCTGAGGTGAGGAATGTACTAGTAATGGATCCCGAGCGACAAATAACCACGCTCGGCCCACCAAAGGCGGATTATACTTTGAGGACGGAGAGCTGGGCTTCATTCAAGCGGTCTAGACATTATTGTCTTCTCCCGCTCTCCGTTCTATTTCCGCATCAACAATGTCGATGTCTTCGCAGGCGGCTCTTGATAGATCCTGTAGATTGTTTTCTCCCACGAGTTGGGGGAGACGAGTATCGGAACTGCATGGAACTGATAGTCGACGGCAACCAGATCATGACAAGGTACGACGATGTTGAATCTGTTTTGGGGGGCCTTCGATTTCCACAACTTCTCCAACATCCGATATGCTCAGCCTCCACTGACGAACAGAACAGTGCAAGATAAGTCGTAGACAGTTCTGAGGAAGTATGAGCCCAGTGATCAGAACCGATGGGGGGAGTACTTTCCAGTGGGGGAGCGCCACTTGCCAGTCCGTCCATCGTTCACTTTCGATCTTTCCCGGCGACGCAGCATTCCACAACTTCCCCCCTTCATCCATGGAAGGAAGCAGATCCTGGGGGACCTGTCCACGCAGGGAAAGCAGAAAGAAGATTGCTTCCTGTGCGAAATCTGGGAAACAAACCGCTTAGAGGCAGGCTCGGCAAGCCGGTCCAGCAAGTCTTCCGGTCTGCATCACCCGCCTCGCAGAGGAACAGAGAAGACTTGAACCGCGCTTTGATCGGCCTAGACCACGCGAACCCTGAGCCTGAGTCACGCGTGCTCATCAATGAACCGTGGCATTGTCTCTTAGCCGGCTTTGCTCTATGGGTCACTTCGTCATTACATGCATCTGAATAGCACAGTGGTGGCCCAGCAGCACTGCGCCAGCGAGCTGGACGACCGGAGCATCCTAGTATTCGGCAATGGCACGTTCCCCCACCGCGAGAGCTCGACCCACATCAGCTGGCTCCTTTCACAAATTATACCGGCCGTTCATTTCCCTCGGATAGGGTCAACGCTGCGCAGGTCGGGAGTAGACTCTTTCATTTTCTCAGCAAGAGTTGGATCTGGTGATAAAATGTCTCATAAATTGCCCGCTGCGGGCTTTGAGACGCGCTCGTTTGAAAGGGCGGATGCGAGAAAAGACGAGAGAAAGTGAGAGGAGAATCTCACGACGATGATCTTGAGCTTGGGGAGTCAGTCGAACAGGCCCGTGGCGAACAGCCGCAGCACGTGCACGGCCACGTCCGAGTGCCAGCCAAAGACCGACGACGAGAGCGAGATGGATACTTCTCAGGAGAGAGCTCGACGACTTGCGTAGGAGCTTCGAAGGATGGCCGGACGCGGAGACGGTGGTAAAGCTGTCCGAAAAGAGATTCATCGAAAGTCTGACCCAGACAGCAGCTGCATTGTCGATGCGACCTGAAAACACCCCGGATGTGTACATTGCTTCTCCATGTCCGTCGCCGCCGCCGCCAGAGGAGAGGTGAAGCGAAAGAGAAGCTACGGTAATGAGGAGAGAGCAGCAAGGAGGTCGCAAAACTTTGCTCTGGTATCGGAAGAAGAGAGTGGTGAGCGAGGAGGGAAATGAAAGACCCATAGCTGCGATGCACCATCGGACGATGCGACCTCCGGGCTGCAGGCTACTCATGACAATACCGATGACGGAGCCATAACTGTCACCCGGGCTTCCCGGCCGACAACACCCCATGGGGCAAGTGGCCCCCATCAGGCGTATAGCCCTCATAGGGCGATTAGAGCGAGTAGCCCCTATAAGGCGAATAGCCCCTATAGGGCTAACAGCCCCTAAGTGCTAAGGCGGCCCCTATAAGGTATATATAGAAAGAGATTGTCACCCGGGAAGGAGGGCTGTTACAATGACTGTTACAATGCGCTTCCCGGCCGACAACACCCCATGGGGCGAATGGCCCCCATTGTCACCCGGGAAGCAGGGCTGTTACAATGACTGTTACAATACGCTTCCCGGCCGACAACACCCCATGGGGTGAACGGCCCCCAATGCCAAGGCGGACCCCAATGCCAAGGCGGACCCCAATGCCAAGACGGACCCCAATGCCAAGGCGGACCCCAATACCAATGCGGACCCCAACGCCAAGACGGACCCCAATGCCAAGTCTACCCCCAACAGGTATACACAGAAAGAGATAAATAGGACCTCTATTCTCGCACTNGACCCTCAACAGTGCGAGAAGTCGATGTCTCAAGGATAGCTTTATACAATACAGATACGTGTTCAACCCCCTGACTCTCCGTCTAACGATCCCACCTCAAGGCTCTCTGACACCCATGGGGCGAACGGCCCCCAATGCTAAGGCGGCCCCTATAAGGTATACACAGAAAGAGATAAATAGGACCTCTATTCTCGCACTACTGGAGAGGCCCTCAACAGTGCGAGAAGTCGATGTCTCAAGGACAGCTTTATACAAGAATCAAGATACGTGTTCAACCCTCTGACTCTTCGTCTAACGATCCCACCCCAAAGCTCTCTGACAAAGTCATAGCGGTAGGGGCCCAGTGAGACCTATTGAAGGACACATATTGTTTAGCCCGCAGAAGAAGAAGAAGACAAGGAGGTTATATAGACACAATCTTCAAAGTACGATGTAAAACCACCTGCGAGTCATTCCACTCTACTTCTATATAAAATCTTATTTACTTATAAAAAGTTTTTAATTCTATTTTTAAACCTTTAATCTTCCTATCGCGCTACTCTCTCCGAGTTATTCTATGAGTAAGACGTCTCCACTAGAATTTCTATCGTTGCCGCCGGGAGATTGGAGTGACACTCGGTCGACATGACACCAGTGTCGAGTACTGTAGCTTTGTGGGTTCTTGTGAATCAATAGCACCCACGTGCCCAGTGTTGTGAAACCTGCTGCTAAAACCCCCTTTGGCGTCCTGGCAGACTGTGTTACCTTTTGCCAACCCCCTCATACAAGCTGCTGGAAGCCTGCCGTCCACAATCACACTGTGAATCGTAAGGGGTCATCCGTCGAAAGGGAGACGTTGAGACCCTTTTTGAAGTAGCTGATGATACTTCGGACGGCTTACCAGCCCGAACCGTAAGGCGGAAAGAACTAGTTATAAACTATCTCGCGGATCTGCGTGAATGGTTCTTCGAACAGTTCAGCCGTTCGCCAGCCTGCCGTCGTTCGTCAGAGAAGAAACTCCGCGCCCATTTTTCTCTCTGATGTAGCACTTTGCACTTCAATTGAGAAGATCAAAGGCCGACTTCTTGCGCATTTCGAAGAAGCTCAAATGAGCCGAATACTGCAGATGATCGTGAGAGCAGCAGCTACAACTGGACGCTCTCCGAAATAGTCAAGGCCGCACGTGACGGTAAGATAGAAGCGGTTATACGCGGCGACTATCCATGGGTCGGGCGTATGGGTGTCGGCAATGGGTTTCGCAGGATCCCTTCATTCCAACACCCGAAAGGAAACCTGTGAATAACCGCTATCTCCAGTTTGACCGGATTCTTGCGGACGTTCCGTTTTGGAAAGAACTTCTTCGGTGTGAAACGGATGTCAGCCTCAGCAGATGGCAAGCAGGAAGCCACAATAGGTCACACGACACACGACATAATAGAGTATTGTCTAGGTGAGCTGGCAGACACCCCTGCGCGTTAGCTTTGCCGTTGGGCCGGCATCCGTCGCTGCGGAGGAATCGGTCTGCTGAATAATCTCGAGGAAGTTGCAGGTCCGACGAAACATCTCCAGTAGAGACATCACGTCAACATCTCAAGATATAACACGTCGACAATCTCGTCTCAAAGTCTTACCATAAACACAAAAAATGGCTGCCCCACCCGAGAAAGCCTTCACCTTTGATAACGTCAACGTGCCTCGGGTTTTTCGAGGGGAGACCGAAACACAGTGAGTACTACTGATGACAGTCATCGGATCGATGCAAATGTGGATGCGATGTCGTGTGGGACAATTCAAATGACATGACCGATGGATATATACTGCCCGCATTGCGTGTGCACGCGACTCATACGGTCTATCTGGGCCATCCGCTGGCGACGTTTGCACGTGAACATGAAACACTCTCTCCTTTTCACAGACTTCACGATGTTACTAACGACCGGCTTCAGGGTCAAATACGATCGCACTTGGTAGCCTTTCGCTATCTGTGGCATCGAAACCCGCGTTGTCACACAACTGACGAGGTATGCGCTCCAAGGCCTTTCCGAAGGCTTTCACTACCGCCTGCTGCTTGTGAGGCTCGTTCTTGTCTGCAAATCTGTGCAAGTACCCGGAAATTTCCATTTCGGCCCCAACCGTCACGCATAAGCCACGCAAGCACTCGATAGTACTCTTTCTTGTGGTCTCTGCTGGTAATGAGAATGCCATATAGTGCAGGATTACCACTCAAAGCGTTTAACATCTTCAGCAACAGCTGACTGTACGGCAAAAAGAGCTTCAGGCCGGGAGGACATCGATCGATACCCTGATCGAAAGTCTGGATCAGCAGAAAGATGAAGCGATTGACCTGCAATCCAATTTTGGAGCGGAAGGGTGTTGACATGGCCAGTAGCAAATCGTAATGCCGCCACCGATGCCTGCGCCGAAGATCAAGCCAGTCACCATAGCGAGTCCCGCAGGTAAGAAAAGTCCAGTCAGCCTACCGACCAGGTCAATATGAACGTCAGTTCAGAAATTGGGGATAGAGAAAGTATTCCGGGGCCGAAACGTGGCGCTGCGATATCAGTGACATGAAGCGTTGGCCCGTGCTGTTGGTGGACGATAATAAGAAGGCGCGTGGATCCTTTCTTCCCAGCGCCTCGAACCTCTCCCCGCCGTGCCTGTCTCCTTTTCTTCTCCAGGAGCCCTTTCCCGGACCCCTTCAATCGTATCGTGAGGCACTGGTGAAGATGGCGGCCCGCGGCCAGCAAAAATTGAAGCAGACTCGTGTGATGATAAACACACCCCTTTTTCACAATCGGCAACTAGTGCACACACCCCCAGTCCGTGCCCGTGTAATGCCATCAAGCGACTCGAATCAGTCAGGGCGAGATCTGGGACGATTCGGGGCTGATCCCGTCTTGGAAAGATGCTCTCGCAATGTACGAGGCCAGAAAATATTGTTGTTGGTTCCGTCCGACTTGCGATAAATGTAATCGGCTCCCAAATATGACTGGGGCGGATGGTTCAGACTCGATAGTGTCAAGATGTACAGCCGTACAGGCAATCAAATCAAGCGTGTCTTGCTTCGATGGCGGGATTTTTCCCAAACGAGCAAGTTGCATTCACTGCCGTCCACTTTCAGGCGCTTGTGGAGGCGTGAGGCTGCTTGGAATGGATCGGCGAAGATGAAAGTGAGGCCTACGTGACGGGAGGTGGTGACACAGTGGAAACGAGTAGCGAGTCTGGTGCCGGAATATTAGCCGGCTTCCCTTTCGCCATACGGCTCGTGGCGCGCAGTTTATAATGGAACTTGCCTATGGCTGAGGATCGACTCACCAATGTCCAACTGCTGTTCGCATGGAACCGCACGGACGGCTCAGTGCTGAAAGATTCACACCTTGAGGGGCGTAATGGCGAATGTGGGACCTGTGTTTCTATTCGGAATCTGCACGAACCCGGACTCTAGCGTTGCGATGGCCGTGTGGGCAATGTGTAGCCGTTGCTCCTAGGATTCTGGGGCTGAAGGGTTCGTGTCTGTATTGCGCAGGTTCTCTGATATGATCCTCGCGTCTTAGGCTTTTGGCTGGATACTCTTCCTCTCGGTCCAGTTTGTCCAGGTGCTCCAGTCTCGTCAAGACGACTTATTGGCTCGTCTCATCGACCTCGCGGGCCAGGAACACCTCGTTAAGAATGGCGTAGACCTTGTAAAAGTTGAAGACTTGTTGGAGGTTATTGTTACACGACATCACAATCCCCGGTAAATTGTACGAACACGAACTCTCGAGGCAGCATAAAAAGATCGCTGCACTTTCGGCGGTTGGCGATTCGACTGCCATAGCGGTGGTAATAGTTGCACTGACAGTAGTGCTAACTGTAGTTCCAACAGAAGTGCTAACAGCACCAGCACCAGCATCATCGAAAGTGAGCAATAGAGGGCCTGCTAACAAGGAAGGGATAAGGATGGGCTGCAAGAAACGAAGAGGACCGAAATCTTTATGTCAGTAAATCCCGTGTGGCGGTGACTCCCAATTCTTGCTCCATTGGGTAAGAAAAGATGCGACCACAGGCGAAGGGCGTAAATGGCGAAGTTGGAGGTTCGAGCGAAATGAGAGCATGAAAGGCAGAACTCATACATTCGACCGACTTGAATGGCTCCGCAGGTTTGCCTTTGTCGAGTAACAAACACCAGAACAGGTCATTGCAGCAACCAAACAACTGCACGGAACAGCCCTGGATAAACGACATATCGGGCCTACCCCGTTTTCATACCCATCAATAATGAGTTCTCAAGGAACAAAGTGTGGGAGTGGGTTCAACGAGGGCGTAGATGGACAAGGAGCATGAGGCTAGCAGGGCTTACGCAGAAAGAGCCTCGACGGTATTTGCGTCACAGCCAGGAAAGCGGATACCAATGTACGACCGCCGCACATTACAAGTCTTCGAGTCATAACCTTCGACCCGCGTGTGCGGTTCGTTCCTTGTTTGCTTAACAGTTGGCAGAGCGAGTCTGCCAACAATAGACCATGTCGCCTCACGATAGGCAGTGAGGCTGCTGGGTCAAATAGAGAAAGATGAAGCACGCTCGCTGGTAGACTTCGACCAGGATCGGATCCTCCTGGGAATCGGATGTGATCGCCCAGTTCTGAATCCTCGTACACAGCTCCAGACTCTTCATGAATTCCTCCGTGTTGATATGCGAGATTGTGGTTCGTAGTAGAGGTCATCTGGCCTAGGGACAGCTCGCGCTGCGTCAGTCAGTGAAGTTCCACGATCTGCGTCAGAATAGACAGTAAGCTGTAATACGTCTGCGGCAGCGGGCTGTAGCTCCAGATGTCCTCGGACGAGTAGCGGGCGTTCGTCCCCCATAGCCCGTATGCTCGAGAACGTGCAGGAAGGAAGTGCTGGTGGTGGATGAAGTCATGGTGCTGTGCCCGGTGGACGACAAAGCTACCGGCCGAGCTCGACCCGGGCAAATGGGCCTAGCAGGTTGAAGAACCAAGTTCAGATTCAGATTCAACACAAAAAAGTGATTTGCGTTCTCAAGGCGGCGTCTTCTCCATCCGCGTATTGACGCCAATTGTCTTGCGGACCAGCTCACTAAAAAAAATGAGTGCATATCTCGCCATGGAACAAAATAACCCAATATAAAAGAGAACAGGAGAGAGAAAACGACAATGAAGCCCAAGCACAGCGTTTTTGCAAGCATATGAGGTACTACATATTCCTCCCATCAGAGCCTGGTGTCGGTGGCCGTTGCGGTCCAACCTATTTGAGCACATGTTTTTGTTCTTGTACCGTCTGACGCACTCCGTGAATTGCCTGGCACGGGGAAGCACGCGTTGAGGGATTCTATCGATGTACATAGTTTCGAATGCATTCGTATCTCGGATATCGCAGAAGAAATTCGCAAGCAATGCGTTTTGGTGAAGAATGCTCGCGCCGGCGTTGGCGGAGTCGACAGTGTCAGGACGAAAGGTTCGCCAGGATGTCGAAAGGCGTTGAAGGGAATCCCTTTATTCTCAGCTTCCTTCAACCGTCTGGCAGAATGCCTCGGACGACACGACGGCCTGAACATTCCGCAAATCGTCTGGTTCGTGGTGGGGCAGCGAGCGGATCTGACTGATAAGGTCAGTGTTGATCTATGGCAGAAGGTTGGCAAGGAAGATCGAAGTATTTGCTTCACGATACGTGCCTTGCAGGAATTTCTGCGTAAACTCCAGACACTGAATGAAATTGAATTTGGAGCGGCAATTTCCGCAACAGCCTCTGGGCTCGAATGGTGAGGCGGGCCCGACTTAGGTGTGGTTTCTGTTCCTTGACCGCCTTGTATGTAAGGTCTTCCAGCCAACTTCTCAAAATAGATCCGAACACGTGTCAGCACGACCAGACTGAAATACAACGCGACCGAGCATGTCTTCTGAACCGCCAATCTTCCGTAAATCGGCCACCACGTCGCGTGCCCCTGGCTCTGTTTCTGCTCCTGCTCCCTGTTGGGGTTCTGCTGGTGACAACGACCCTTATAGTGATTCTCTGCCTCGTCCTTATCCGTCGTGTCATACTTGCCCGCGGCGATCATGGTCCCACGAGCAGCCCCCGAGCTTACCCCATAGGTTGTAAGTGTGCGGCCTGCACGGGCCGGGTACGCGCCCTGGACGTTCGAGCCACGTTTCTAGGCACTCAGGCTCTTCCGCGCGAAATACTTCAGCGTCGAGAGGTATAGCTAGGGCAGCAGCTGGGACGGGCTACGGAGCCGAGGTGGGCTTCCCTTTCGAGGGATCGTGGCCGCTTCTGATACCGGCGGAGCTGGCGGTGGGCCTGTTTGCCCAGCAGTCGTAACCGGCCCTCGAGATCTAGATCCGTGGCGGGCAGAAATGGCAATATGCTGCCGTCGCTGAACGCCAGCATTAGGCTATCCTCCTTACCTATGGTGCTTACGCTGCCCAGGAATGGCCGCGGGTTGACGGGGAACGAGCCCACGAGGGCAAGACGCTCGTGCGTGGGCACACCGGGGTGGCGGCGTTACTCGAACCCCATCATCACCAGCGCCACCAGCGCGAAACAACCGCTTGTCGATAATGATACGGGCCTGGCGGCAGATGCGGGACAGTCGTCTCGTGGAGGCGGGTTCTGGAATAACGCCGGAGAGGGGCGTTGCGTGTGCCGGAACATGCGGGTCGGAGCCACGACCGACGCTGTCGCGCCGGAGAGCGCTTCACCGGCGGATATAGGGATTCCTGCGCAGGTGGGAGTCGGTCACCGGCGAGGCGGTGCAGAGACGGGAGGCTTCGGCAGACAGACGCTGGGCGGACTAATTGAGCAGGTCGATGAACTAAGACATCCACCGCATTGATGTCAGGCCGTTAATGACCTCGCGGCCCGCGATGAACATCAAGTGGATTTGGTGCAGGCCACTGGTGGTGGTGGTGGTGCCGTCGTCGCGCTCGAGCGGCATGACGTAGACCCTGCTAAGGGCCTGGGTCTCGTCGATACACCGGCGCACGTTGAGAGTGTGGATGAAGAACTCGTCGACGTCCATATCCGGGTAGTGGTCGCCCACGAACACGGCGTGCTTCGTCGCCTCGCGCAGCATCGCTCCGAGGTCTCTGCTCGGCTCAAAGACATACACGCGGTCCAGTTTTCCGAACATTTGGAGGAAGAAGCCGAAGGCTTTCGTATAACTATTACAGAAGACGAAGATGTGATAATGACATTGTTCGACACATGGTTGGGTTAGCGGAAGGGGAAGCATGCTGATTGATTGTGTGCGGAGTCGGAAACTTCAATGGGCGTTGAATTCCGTCGCTGGAGAAATTGAGAGGACAAAGATCGCGCAAAAGTCATCACGCAGCCCAGCGGGTCCGGGGAGATGCCCAGCTGGAGGGCCGTGCAAACTGGTGCATGATAGATCGACCGGCCCAACAGAGTAATGCGTTTTCTGGCTGTTCACATAGGCAACAATACCTCGCCAAAGAGCGTCGCCCGCAGCTGTACGCCGCACTTTGGATAACATCTACGAACAGTGTCTCGTCAAAGCCCGCCTTCTCAGCCAGAGGGATGAACGGCACAAGCCAGTAATGGATTCTGAAAAAACACCCTTTTTGTCGTGTCTGGCCCCTCTGAACTTTCCTCACCCGCCGCCAGAATTCGCCATTGCCCGATTTCGCGGTCATGGGATCCTTCTCCGGGGTCGATGGAAAACGTCAGAGGGCCGGACAGCAGATTCTCCTCGATTCTGCAATGTCTTCATGGCTTCAATCTCTCGAAACTTGAGCTTGGAGAAATACTTGCATCCCCAGGAAGTTTCGGAGAGATAGGCTTCCCCAAATACGAGCCTTACTTGGCACTGGTGACGCATCTTCAGCATGTGCTTATTCGCTTCGGTGCGTTGGTCACCCTGCAAAATGTTGGTCCTTCGCTACCATGGTAATTCAAGTCGAGACGCCGTTCATCATTGCCGCGGTGATTGGCGTCTTCCTGAATCTGGTTTTGCCCAACGAGAAGAGTGCCATGAACGCCAGGATGAAGATGAACACGACGCAGTTTCCACGAATGGAACTCTGGTCGCGGCGGGATTCAGTGGAAGAACAACCTTCGAACTGCGACAGGCGTTGCAGCAGCTTCTCTGACGGACCCGCCGTGCTCCGTAGAACGTCGGTGGAACATGGACGTCGCAGATCTGCGAAACAGAGGTCTGCTTGGTGCGTGTGACAAATTTGGATCTTCTCCCGCTTTGAGTGCCTTTGCTATCGTCAAGTCATAGTATTTCGCAAACTTAATCTTGGCGGCGATTTCGGATTCCACGGCTCGCCAGCGTCAAAATAGACTATGAGGCGTGAACATATTAGGACTCCTCACGGCGCCAGCGAAGAGAAGATTCTTTTCTCAAGGGCTCAATGGGCCCTGGGTCGTCCCGGAGGCCGTCCTATACGTCGTCCTGGAGGTGATTCTGGAGATGAACCCGCAGGTGGTCCTCAGGAGTACATGGTCCTGGGTGCGGTCATGGGGATTGTTCTGCTGGGCACTAGGAACTTCACGCTCGCCGCCCACAAAGTGTATTGGTATTGTAGCCAAACAGGTATGTTCTGCTGGCAACCGCAGAGACCTGACCTGCACTCGACTGACCGCGACGATTGACTGCCCAGTGGGTCTTGTAACCAACTTTGGGTGCGAGTCTAACCAGGGTCCGTGATGGCGCAGTTCCAACTTTTCTGTCCAAAGCCAGTAAGGCCTTCAAGGGTTGAGGATCGCGTCGAGGAGAGTTCGAGGGGAGGAGAAGGGTTCGGTCTGACTAGGGTCTGTGATGCCATAATTCCACCGTTTCTTGTCCAACGCTAGCAGACCTTCGAGGGCCAAGAGAGAGGGAGGAGAGAGGGATTCGAGGGGAGGAGAATGTCTCGGACTGAAAAAGCGCGATTGTAGGGTCCTGGAATCCGTCAGTTTCACAGTGCACAATTTGTAAGAGAGGCCCTTCAACGTCACAGAACGATAAGATTGAGACTGTACAACGAACAGGTTGATAGTGCTCAGATGAAGTTGTTGGAAGTCAGGTTGGCGGGCGGCGGCATGCAAAGGGTCAATCTCCCCAAATCCCCTGAAATCCCCTAAAGTCACGTTATCCTCCTTTGTAAGAGGCATGGCTGCCTGTTCACTTCTGCCGTTCCAACCAGCTCAACCAGCGGTTCGCTTGATAAAATTCTGTCGACATTACTTGCATGAGTGGCATGAGGAGAATTCTCAGCAGAAAGAAATTGCCTGTCCTCTCTGTGCTTTAAATTGGGCGACGCGGCAAAAAAAAACAAGTTCCTTTTTAATCTTCGCAACCATTCGACGCTCGGACGCTCGTTCCTCGGGCTTCGAACATGGCGCCATATGAATCCCGAAGGTCCCGGAATTGTTTCACCTCGTCCGTTGCCATCCACTTGCTCCTTTTTCTTCTTTTTCATCCCTTCGTTTTGGTCGAATCCTCGACGCGGTGGCCTTCACGAGGTGGTCTTCTTAGGAGCCCTAGAGTAAAGCACCTGAGCTTTTGTCGATTAATCAAGAATTTCAGATTGCAAATCCTTATAGCGAGCATCACTCTCACTTCCAATCGACGTTCTCAAGTCAAGGCGTACTTCTTCCCAAGGGGATGTTTCCCGTCCTCCCCAGAGCCGTACGTCGTTTGATGTCGACATCAATAAATGTCACGAGTGCTTGCGAGACCTCTGCGTTGAAACCCGTGAGTTTGCAAAGTTGCTGGGCGATATTCGCAGTGATAGAGTATCAACAGACTCGGCTCCCGAACCTCCCTCTTTCCACAGCTTATTCTTACAAATTCGCGCCAAAGAAGTCCGCTCAACTCGAAGAGGAAGATCAAGGTGAACCGCAATGGTTTGGAACTCGCCAACAAATCGAGAAGCCGCCAAAGAGGTGCTCTTCTCTCATGCTGTGTTCGCGTTCCTTGGGTCTTGCTATTCTTTGGGCGGCGAACTGGGACCGCACAATATTCATTGCAGGACGTCAAAGGGAAGGAGAGAAAGGTCGGCAACTCACTAAGTCCTCGGCGCGAACTTTCTTCTCGCTGTCCTCACCAGCTGCGCCGCTTGAGGCAGGGTATGAACGAGGTGGCCACGAGAGTGGCCACTGCACGGTGCTTTCTTCCACTAATTTGGGCATCTTGTGCCTCTTCGATCGCGACTTGCTTTCCATCCACCCTTCCTTACTCCCTTACAGATTGTCATTCCTCTCACATCCATATTGCACTCGTATTCCCATTCTCCCTACAAAACTTCCTTAGGGATGCCGCCGCATCGCCTCATGCGACGGAACCATCAATGAGTGATGCTGGGGCGGCGCATCGTCGAACTGCCAGCAAACCGCAAGCTTCGTTCGAGTGTCATTCGTGTAGAGTAATACACTGCGGACCATGCAAGAAGGCGGCGCGGCAGAGGATCTCACGTGAACGCCAATCCCGCTATCCCCGTGTCTTCAAGGACTCTTTGCTCTCCGGGCCCAAGTCGTACGATTCTCGGCTCTGTTCTCCGTATTTGTGATATTGGGGCAACCTCCCCTACAGCCTTGAAGGCTTCGCGAAGTTTGGTTTTCCGAAACTTGAGCGACTGAACAGGTACCTGATTCGGAGTTCAGGTCATGATAAACTATCCAGGTCGACTCAGGTCGACCTGGATATATGGAGAGCTACAAGCCTATACGAGCTGCGCGAGCACGCTGTGTGTTAGAAATGTTAAAGCGATGTAGAAGGCAGTGGCTGGACAATAGTCGTTCCGTGGGTCGTCTCAGACTTTTTAGTTTACCTCTCTTGTCTGAGCAGGGGTCAACTCATTGTCTAGCGAAGCGTGGCTGAGCCACTATTACCGGCAAAACTGACAGAAAGGGCGCAATTATATTGGTCAGCCTTATCGGAGCTTATCGATTGGCTGTTGAAAACACATAACACGTGACTGTTGCAGATTATGATTATTCCGTTCCTAATCTTAATTCCTATCTCCGCCACTGCCATCTCCGCCACTACTAACTCAGTTTTCGTCAATAACTTCATCAACAACTTCATCAATAACTCTACCAAAACCTTATCGAACCTTTATTAAATGGCCTCAATTTGTTTACCTAGAAATATCTATTTATCTTCGAAAAGCTTCCCTCAAAAACCTCTACGAGCTAAGTTATGAAGCCACGAAAATGACCGATTTAAAGGCCCCCTTAAATCGTCTCTGGCCTGTCGGAAATCTACTCCTCTCCACCACTCAATCCTTAGCTCTCGAAGGCCCTGTTGGCGTTGGTTTGAAAAGGTGGAACTGTGGCATCACAGCCCCTGGTCAGACTCGCAGTTAAAGTCGGCGTGGGAAGACCCAGTGAGTAACAATTGGTCGCGGTCAGTCGAGCAGAGGTTTCTGTGATTGCTAGCAAAAGAATATCTATTTAACTGCAACACCTCTACACTTTGTGAGCGGCGATAGCGACATCTCTGGTGCCTAGTAGGTAACTGCCAGGACCACCCCAGGACCACCCCAGGCCCATTGGACTCTTCGGAAGACCCTACTGGCTTCGGTGGCGTCTTGAGGAATCCCTAACGGATGTATTCCTCACGGTCTATTTTAACTGCATCCGGCCTTTTGTCCTATTTCATTGCCAGTGATCCCTCCGCCATCTGTAATCGAATCTCCCACAAGCATCAACGCCAGGGTTCCCCCGGTTTCAGCGTCGCGGGACTTCCTGATCTGTCGTCGAAGGGCCTCAAGCACCCAGATCTGCCTCAGGGCTCCCTTTTTTGTCCAGTTTGGTGGCCTGGTTCAGGGTATGGCACAGTCAGACCCACAAGTATCGTGTGTGTCCCATGCGAACAATGGCTCCTCAACAGGTCTCAGCCTGTCGGCGTGTCCCATTCCCGGAAAACCGGCACAGTACGCTTTTCGCGTCTCCCGCTGTAGTTTCGCATCCACTCTTGCCGCCTAACACGTCCCTCGGGTTGACGAAGATGAAGGTGACATAAGGGTACGAAAGAGAAGTGAGAAGCTGAAAACCTATTTATAGTAAAATCGAAGTGAGAAAAGAGCCGGCACGGCGAAGACACTATCGGAGAAGTCATACGCCGAACCTGGTCCTTCTTCCGCGAATACGATCCAGGGACCTGTTCGGTCTCCTTGGTAACTCCTTGATCTCCCAAGCGGAAGTCTCGCTGTCAGAGCTAGAATTTCAAGTTCTTGAGAGAGATACAGTACTTGCGTTTGAGCTCGTGATAATCATCAGGGTGACTGCTTGAAGCCCTTCGTAAAGTCTTTAGCTTGTCCAATGTAATCATCGGCGTTTCACAACCACTATGATTTTGTCATACTTTGCTTCGCCTTCTTCCAAGCTCCATGTAAATGGCGTGTTATATCAACGCCGCGAATGCTTGTTGGCTCCTGTCGACCCGAGGATCTAAGACATGTCATCCTTACCGGTCCTGAGAGTCCAGCAAACTTTTCGTCACACCAAATATAGCGTTCTGCCACCAGCTCCGCGCTCGTCATCCACAGTCAAAGCGTCCGAAGAGAGACTTACTCCACGTTCACCTTGGCGCCGTCGTGAGCGAGAATGGAGCACCGAATGGTTCTCCCATTGCTTTTCAAGCATCGTCTTTAGAGCGTTTTGCGTACAAGACCGGCGGAGATCTTCAGAAGATAACCATCGAACAGATACACCGAAGGAACATTCAAACTCTCGAAGGCCGTAACAAGAATTTCACTCATTGGCCCTGGTGTGGTCTCGAGCTCCGTCAGATGGCAATCCGATATTCTTGATGGAACAAAAAGTATTTACCACCAGACCAGTAGTCAGTCTTGAAATGATTGCACCGAGGGGTAATAGCAAGGAAGGTCTTCCACGGCGACTTTGGTGGGTTGATCATGAGTCATGCTGATACAAGTGCCAGGTCGATTTCTGAGAGTCTCTAATTAAGGAGGTGAAGGGTAGGAGCACCACGATGCTCACCCTTCACGTCCCGTCAGCGCTTGCCTGGCAAGGTGATTTCGGACACAAACATGTGTCTGCGTCGCCATCGCCGGTCTCTCCCTTGTCGCTCCGAAGATCCCTTGGTGCAATCGCCGCGACCACATGTCCCTCGACGTTTGCCATGGCTGAGCGTGAGGCGTTTGGACGAGATTGGCTGACGGTGCTGGCTTCGTGGTTTCCCTTGCATGTCGGCTCCAACAACGATGAAACTTTGCCAACACACCCTCCATCGGATGAATGATCCGCGTGTCTGAAGGATCGAGCGCCCTAAGTGAAATGGCCGAAACCTTTAACCAGGTTGATGGCGAGTAAGGTCCATGATGGATCACCAAGACGGAAAATTTCTGTAAGCCTCTACCTCGTGAGGGAGAGCAAGGACGAGAGGCAGGGCAGAGAAGCTGGGAGGGGCTTGCGTACTTGTACCAGCTACGCTTAAAGCTCGATGGCCTCGGCAAACACCTGTCTTCCTGCACAACCTTGTTCAAAGTAGGCTGCCGCTTTCTTGGGACCCTTGGACAAGCAAGAGAGGCAATGGCCGGAATCCCAGGACAACCTTGCACCACTGCTGCGTTCATCTGTGGAGACTTGGTTGACGCTTAAGACACCCAATTCGCTGGCCAGAACCCCTGAAAGGGTTGTCGTTGTGAGATGCTGTGGGGTCTGCCTCACCATGCCACCCGTGATCGGTCACTCTTCTATTGTCTTTTGAGCTGTTCTTATTGCTGCTGACAAACTCCTTTAGACACCGAAGAGCTGTTGCTATGGGAGTCGTTGTAGTGCTTCAAGATGTCCAGGAAGGGTTGCGTGAAGAGACCACACAAGAGACCTTCTAATCGTAGTTGGCAACGACGGCCTGGCCTGCGACAGGGACCAGGAGGCAGGGTCACTTGTGGCGCCAGATAAAGAGACTAATGTCCACGGAACAGAAGATGGACAAAGGAGGCGGGGCCAGCGATCCTGTTGTCACTCACTCAGCTATAAAGGCACCCCTCCCATAACCTTTTGTCACGAGTAGGTTAGCACGTGACCACGCTAGTGCTAGCGTGCCTGCGCCACCACATCATCCTCGCTGTCGATCCAGCGACCTTTTCAGATAGTCCTTCGTACCACAATTTCCATCAATTCAAGCTCAAAGCGTGATACCCTTTTCTCTTCTTCTCTTGTCATCTCCTTGCTCTTCGAGTCTCCGACCATGCCCGAGGCACGCTACGACTTTGACGCCGACTCGCTTCTCCACGAGGATGACTGCAACATCTTCGACGCGTATGAAAATGTTGTGGAAAGCGCACTGGACATGAGAAGGAAGTTTGTCATGATCGTGGACCAGGCACGACAATTGAAGAGAGAGCTGCTGGCCAAACAAGCCGAAATCGACCGTCTCAACACTCGCGATCGGCAGGAACTTTCACAATACCAGCACTCTAACAAGGACCTGCAAAAGATAATCCAGGCGCAGAGTAAGAGACTACAGCAGAACAGGGAAACGATCAAGATGTTGCATCGCCGCATTACACAGTCGACAAAAGATCTCGAAGCCGAGCAAATGAAATTGGACCAGGTCGATTTCTTACGTTGTGAAATTTGTAAAGAGAATATCATGAACGTCTTCACTGGATGTGGTCACGGTTTTTGCAAGGGTTGTCTGGACGACTGGTTGCACCGGCCTGCAGCTTCATACTCTGCCCGAGACGAGAAAAGCTGCCCAAAGTGCCGACGACTCGTGAGAGAGAGCGAAATTCGGGACGTCTACCTCGGGTCTGGCACAACGACACCCAGTGCTCGCGATGGTGACGGAATCACAGAAGTCCTCTCGAGCGATAGCGATGAGTGATAACAACACCGTGGATGAGGAAGGGTGATGGATGGTATGAATATTTGACTCAAAAACACGGGGTGGATATGGGAAAAGCTAGTGTTGACGGTTCACCCGAGCTTCATCGGCCAGGATATGGCAAGTATCAATATTGTGAACATACTCAGCGAGAGGAAAGTCGATCGCTCCTGGGGCCGTTCTGTCAACTTGTCATGTTCTTCGGGTAGGGCGGAAGCGGGTGCCTCGCCGCTAGCCCTGCAGAATCTGCTTGCCTGTGGTGAACTTCAGGCAGCTTTGATCACTTCGCATTTAGCTGTCACAGCAGCCTCTAGGCGCCGATGGGGCTTGAGATGAAGAGTTGAGCATAGAGACAGGAGCCGAACCGGCTTCTTTGGCATTGAAGGGATAATGCCAACCAGAAAACCCAAGGACCTTTCGCCTTGAACCTTGTGGCTTCAGCCTCCTGCACGGATGCCGCCGTCTCACCAACATCCGCGACCAAGTTGATCGTACGGGTGGCCTACATAGGAGAAATCTTTTACTTCATGGTACAAACGATCAATAAAGTTCGCTCCCGGCTTGGAAGTAGCTGTTTGGCCCAACGCAGGAATTACCGTCTGAGAAAGTTCGAATTGCTCCCAGATTGAGCTCATAAGCTGGGTGCGGAATATGACTCCATAATGAACTGGTGGTGCGAAAAGCTCAGATATGGTCAACTTGTGCATATGAGTGACCTGTTAAATCAATGGGTGGTATGCATTCTGTATCGCCAGTCATACGCATTATCTGTTGATCGAACGGCGCTGACTCTGCAGTGATCGGCAAGCGTGGACAGATACCGCTCCATAGACCCAGTGGCGTGCAATGTATGATGGCCTCCGATTTCATTGGAGTGACCAAAATTGGCCAGTCTTCACCATCCTGCCACGCGCCAAGTTCTGTGGATTTACGGAACTGACGGCTGTCTGGCGTTGCCACTTCTTGATGGCGGTATCTATCGGTCGTTTGGCCCCCGCCTGTACCCACCACGGATGTTGAAAGGTCAAGGTTTTGTTCCAGAACCTCTTGGCCGATGGTCGATTGTAGTTTGCGATTATTTGTCACCATATGCCGTTTTGTCGACGCTTCATCCCCAGGCTTCGAATCGAGTCAACCTAGCAGGTCGATGTAGTCCGGCGCCAGGCTCTTTCAATGCGATTTCGATCTTGTGACTTGTTGCTGCGGCTTCACGCTCGCCAAAGCGGGCACCACCATTGTCGAGCCGATGTTCAGGATCGCCTTCCAGATCGTACTTGAGGAAATCCACCAGTACATGGGTAAGACCTTGATCACACTCAGCTGCGCATGTCGGGAACTGTCCTGGGTCTATCGCTCACCTATCTTGTCGCCCTTGCGCCGTACTTGTTTCTGCCGGGCGCCAATGATGGTCTGGAGGGTCGACCAGTGATGCGATTATAGGCCGAGTTCGTCCCGTTTCGACTCCAAGCTTCACAAACAGATCACCGGCGTAGAGGAGTCTGGGTGGGTGGCGAATTCGCTGACTCTGCACGGATGACCGGCTGCGGCGTATTCATAATCAAATGAACCAGTAGCCGAGTCCAATCTGCCCACATCAGTGCTTTAGGTCGCGTTTCAGACTTGCTGTGGAACTTACTATCTTTCCCAATATGGTCTGGTTCTGTGTGGACAACTTCTGGCGCGGGAATGAAGGCAGAACAGCGCTCGTACTGTCGGAGCGTGGTGCAACTCATTTCATAGGCCGATTGTTGTAAAGCTGAATAAGCTTCCGCGTACCGTCCCGCGTCCCGACTCCAGTCGTCGGCGTCAAGGACGATACGGGACCGCCGTCTGTGTCTTGATTCGCGGCGTTTCGCGTAATCGGCTGGATGACAGGCTCCTTAAGAGTGTCGTGCTGGGATGATTTTGCGCCAGAGTGCTTAGAGGTCGTGACTTTGTAGACGGCAGAGGCAAATTAGGGGACAATGTTACCACGGCGGACTCTTCATCAACAGAAGCGTCTTGAGTTGTGACTGTCTTCTTTAGGCAATGCATGCCTCGGATTGTTTTCGGCATACCAGCGTCCGTACAATCACTCGTTGACAAAAGAGGTTGCAGGACAAACTGCACATCTTGCACGATCGCCAAGTAGTGTGTCCTTAAATCAGAGGACACGACGACTTTAAGAGCACCCTCAGAATTTCAACAAACTCCAATGAAGTTTGTCGTCTCCGTGATAAGGGTTCGCATGTCCAGCTGCAAGTATGTCAGTGTGATTTGGGAGAACGTGAGCATGTGACACTTACCAGGAGGCGTTCTTGCCTGACCGAGGTTAAACAGTCGAGCAGCCAGAGCGACGGCTCGCTGGAATCTTTTGAGCAGGCCATAAAGCTACGAACAAGAAGGGTTGGTGTCCTGCACCGATTTACGCGATGTCAAGATTCCGTTCCTCCAACTTATACTTGCGACGGGTGTTGCATACACAACTAGGATCGTGATCGATTGGCGACGGGCCTGACGCAGAAGCCATGGACAAAAAGTGAACCTTATCGGATCTCTTGACACGAATGACAAATCTCGAATGTGAAAATTGAAGGGCCGTTGCATTCAGGCTTCGGGCCGGGAAATAGGATCGAAGTAGGGAGAGAGGACAACTTCGGATGGAGAATTGCCTTAGGAGGTCAAAAAGGCTCTTCACGCTTTCCCGCACAAGGCATGCCCTGGACCAGACCGCCAGACGAGCCAACCATGACTGGGTTAGGCCGGCGGTTATCGCGAACGAAACACGACTGACTTTGGTGGCAAAGACGGATCAGCTCTTTGCAAGATCGCAGCGAACTACACCTGCACAATCGATGATGCACGAAGATCAGGATGAAGTCATGCGCCAGCCTGACGATCAGCGTCTCGAAGAGGCCAGGATGAGTCTTGAAGATCAAGTGCACAGCGTGTCTCGACAGCTCTGGTCCTTCGATCGAGATGGTGGCCTTCCAGGACAATCCTCACCTCCAGTGGTAGGTTGCAGAAAGCCATCTGAGCCCGAGAGTACTTGGGCGCAAATTATCGCAAGTCTTCTGACCAAATGCTTATTCCAGCACTTCCACAGCCTGGCTCGATATGATCGTCCCTCAAAACAACGACGAGGGGTGAGAGGATGAAATGAGGAAGCTTAATAGGGACATATTGTCCATGCGCAGTATCTGAAGCTGCGAAATCTCTTGGGCGACTTGAAGAGACCGTCTCGAGCAATCAGCCGAGCACAACGAAAGTTATGAAATGTTGAATCCACCAGACTCGATGCGGAGACGGTGTGGTGGTGTGGGTATCCAACGTGTGATCATAAGCTTGAGAAGCTGTGCGGGCTCATAGCGGTCACGGGAGTTCTACATTGTCCGAGTCGGCCAACAGATCGTCACTTTCAATGGTCATGGCTGGCTCCGTACTGTTCACCAGGTTTGGACCCACAAACATATTCTACGAGTTCATCGGCGTATGTCGCGTCATGGCTTCCAACGCTCCGGAGGAGGGTGGCATCCTCCCACCTGTGCGGTCAAACACTATGGTCGAGAGAGCTTGACGACGGTAATTCGACCTCATCCTGTTTCTCCTGCGGCCATTTCAGGCTTCGCACCCAATCCCGAAGTGTTTCGACCCCTGACGGAGCTGCCCGGACACGATATCTTGTGCATGGGGCTCGGGTTATATGTGTCGATAATTTCTATAAGATGCACGTCTTTCACCAACCAGTGAAGCCCGCGAAGAATGTTTTCCGTGTAAGGTTGGGAGTATAAATTATGCTGATCATCACTCAAAATCACCATGTCCTCCCTCCCAAGGCCGTAATTCCGTTCGAGAGACGCATACATGCTCTGAGAGTCGCGAATGGCTGTTTCGGTTGGCCGAACTGTCCAGAGTAACTGATCCCAATTAGCAAGCCCTTCATCTGTGGCTGATAGGCGACCTGTCTTCTTCGTGATGCTCTGAAATAAGCAAATGCATCCCGATTTGCGGCGCAAGGCAAGTTCTGGCTGGATAATATTGTACCACGAGCATCATCCTGACTCATGTAGAACTGTGAGCTAACTTTCCCTGTCTCATGTGCGATGTATGCACTTCCCTTGGTGCTGGATTGCCCGCTGTCTAGAACGGAAGGGGTGTTTGTACTGGGGGCCTCTCAGACCCCAGTCGTAAGCGGCTGACTTATCATTCGCGTTAGCACTGGCAAATGGGCCGTCGTCACGGTATTCCAGGGCCGAAATGTTGACCATCTCGAACGGAGCTTTCCGCGTGACTGGCTGCCGCTTTTACTCTGGTCCGGGTCAGTCCCGGCTCAAGTTCGGCTCTGGCCTCTTTCACCCTACTCACCCTTCGCCCTGCTTGCCCGGTGTGGCATGCGCCTGGATATCGACCCTCCCATAAATTGTCAAGTTTTGACGAGGGGCCAAAAAGGGGCCAGCGACCCTCGCAATACAGCATGGCACATTCATCCTAGGATTATTCTACAGTCGGTTGGCTCCTGATGTGTGGCTGCTTGTACCCTTCGCGTGCGAAGGTTCCCATATACGGACCCGTCACCCTCGAGGTAGCTATGGCTTCTCCCTCCCTTTCCTACCGTCCCTCCGTACGTCTAAATATTCAATCTGTCTCTCGCCAGATGATCTAATCCTAGAAGTCGTGTCCTCCCCACTCTTCCCAAGCTCATGACACCCAGGTTTAGGAGAGACTGATTTATTACCCTTAGATATACATCGCCAGAGCACTTGCAACGCATCTAAGATGACTTCGAAGCAGAGGAAAAGAGGTCCGAAACGACAGGATCCCGACGACCTGTTAGCACAGGCTTTGAAGGATGGCCTCACTGTGGATAAGGGCGAGATCGATAACGATCCGTTCTACCCAGAGCTCGCTGATACCAGTAAACCCAAGTATGAGGGGATGATGAGGCTGTGGGAGGCGGATGTCATCAACAGGGCTGAGTTGCGTCTGCTAAGGGAAACTGACAGATATCGCATACCTGAAAGAATTTCCGACAGACGATCCTCGCACAATGAGCGACATGATGCGCTTTGTGGAATTTATTGGATGCGTAACAAGTCCAAGGCTCGATAAAAAGCAAAATATGGAACGATTAAATCGTTACCGATTAAGGTATGAGCGTCCATGTCGATGTGGCACAGGCAGACGAAGCTGGTAATTTCGAAAGAAGTTCACGATTCGATGGCCCAAGTGAATACCCCGAATGCCTTTCACACAGCAATCCTCTTATTTTCTTTCGTACTTAGAGTGGAAATCATGGCGAACATGTGCCGAGATGGAAACTCCCGCTGTCTACGATGGAAAAAAATCGACGTTTTTAACAATAGAAAGCTGGGCACTATTGGCTCGGAGACTACCACACCTATATCCACGAAGGGAGCCGAGTAGAGCATAGTACTGCAATGAAGTTGCACTGCTGGACTTCCGCAAGATTAAGAGAAATTTCCCAGGCAAAGTACAAGGTGTGAAACCAGGGCTAATACGACGAAGGACAACTTTCTGAAAACTAATATCCACTACCAGGACCTCATTTGCATGAGCGCGTGGAAAGATGGAGAGCCAGAAATCAAGGTAAGGTTCAAGCGGGAGCTTGCAAGAGGCATGAGTGAAACCTCTAAGAAGTAAACTATGAATGCTGATCGCTGAGCTTTCACTCTTGCTGCTAACGATGCACATCTGGAAAAGCCAAAACATCCCGTGTGCGAGACGTTGAACCCTACTCCTCCATTGTATACAAACGGCCTCTTGTTCCTGCTCGCTATTTTCATTTCGGCCTGCGCTTTCAGAGACTACACCATCGAAGACGTCTGGAATGCTAGAGCGCCATTGGACAGTAGTTTTATGGTCATGAAATGGGCGGAAATTGTGTTAGAGACCCCAGTCTTTCCAGAGATATCGGTGGATGGACCGACTGCGAAGGCGAGGAATGAATCCAGCGGGAGTCATGCATGTTCAGAGTGGGCGAAGAGAGCCGGGTTTCCCGATGGGATAGGCCTACGCGCAGCCCGAGGCGAGGTCTTTATCAAGATCGACGCTGATTCGGCCCTGCTCCTGGTATTCTCATGTGTCAGAAGCCAACATTGTTCATACATGGAGGTTATTCGTTAGGGCAGGTAATGAAGTTCGCCGAACAGAGAAGTTGGAAGTTCCTTCTTGGGCACCATCTGGACGACATGAGCAATCTGGACGGCGCAGCAGCCTTCTTGGACTTCGAATCACGGCGAAATCTCACGGAAGACTTTCGTTCCGCATCGATGTGAAGAGAACAGAATCTTCCACTCGCACTTCCGGCGAAGATACACGATGAGCTTGAGAGTCGACCAGATTTTGTACACCTCTGCACGCAGATACAAGTCCTCACGACTCATCTAAAGGCCAGCATCTCCCAGGAAGCCTGTGCTTAGCTTAAGGCTCAACGTCGAGTGCTGTACGATCAGCGCCAAACACTCATTGGCAAGGTAATGAAGAAGTGGCGTGAAACTCAACGGAAAGTTCAGACTGCCCATTCCAATGCGAATGCTAAAGGTATTTATCGCCGCAGTTATTTCGATCGTGTTGTCCGTCACATGATTCCTGAGCGCGACCGCCTGGCGCTGATCTTCCCTTGCACGGCCGTACCACGGAGCCCGGAGGGCATTTGCGCCATTCGAGATCTTGTTGCTCTGCGGACGAAAGATTGCGGGTTGCATACCAGGAGCCGTTACGGCGCATACAAGGTCGCTGTTTAGTTCCTTCTTGCTAGAGGGAGATGCACCGGTAAGGGAAATTCTGCCATCGTTTACTTCGTCACAGTTCCTGACAGGTCGCCTAGCCTTCCGTTGAACCACCGATGGACCCATGTGTGTCAATGCCCGAGTGCCTTCCACGAGAGGCAGAATGGCTTCGCCGAATCTTGCTTCCTGTGCAGCACCTGGATAACGAGCGAGACAGACTGGGAAAATCACTGCCAAAACAACCTTGACAACCGTGAAATCCCTTTCCATCGGGCCACAGCATGTGCTGGGTTTTGTGGTTGCTGTCTCGCGAATGTTAAACTAACCCCGAGTGAGCGGATGAAAGAATTTCCGAAGCAGCGTCTCTGGCGGCTGCATATCTCTGAATGTACCGCAAAATATATCCAGAGCCTGAATCCGACGGATCCGTTCACCTGCATCCATAAAGACTGCCCTATAATGGTTGGCGCCGAGTCCGACCTACAGTATCACCTTCAAGACTGGCACGGTCATCCACAACTGTGCCAGGGAAAACCCCAATATCCAAAAGAGAGTGACGAGGACCCAGACTCGGACCTCGACAACGTGTCTAAAAAAGGTGGGCATGCTGCGCGATCAAGTCAGAGAGTCCACAGACCATCCAATCAAGAGCTTTCAAACCCGAGCCATCAGGAGAACCCTTGGTTGCGCATGGTCAGACGCCTTGACCATGGGCTCCGACCAGACGTTTATGGGTGGCATGGAATTAACGACTTTGAACGACAGCTCCACTGCGCAATGCGCAGTGGAGCCAACGGCATGCGGGAATTTGACGAGATCTCTGGCACTGAAGGGTTGCCTCCAACTTCCTTGACTGACCCCTTTCAAACAGCCTCTGAAGCTCGAGAGGACTGCCCTTCTCTTATGCGGTCCTCTTCGAAATGTAGTGACGTCGAACTTCCAATTGACCCACAGCTTATCTGCAGACTGCCTGGAGGCACTGAAGTTGTTGACTTAACAGTCGATCACGATGAGCCCATGCTAGATACAAGGGGTACAACTTCGCAAAATACGTTTCTCATGGAAACCGGGCAAACTTCCACGAGAGATGCAGGAGATATCCAGTGGAGCAAGGAGAAGTTAAGTGCAACAAGGGTCGACCTGTGATGAAGAATACGCCCAAAGAGTTTCACAGAAGGGAAAACGTAGGTATAATCACCGAAAGTACCCTGAGAATTGGCCATTTGTCAACACCACGACGGAATTGATGGAAACCCGTTCACTGAAGAAATCCGCAGCCTCCTCTCGCTGCTCGTCACTTCTCCGTCACATAGAAGTTCTCGTCAGCCACATGGAAGAGGGGAAGAGAGATCTAAGTGCTAACAGTGGCAAAATTCTGTCCGGAGTGTCCACCTCAATGACATTAGACAGCATCTTTACAGCGGGCAAGAGCTCCTATGGCTCTCACACCTCATTAATAACCATATGCAGTCATGATCCGATCAATCCAGCTATTGAATCCTTAGAGTACGATCTCGATGCCGTCAAAGTTGTGAATCTCACAGCCGTCGACAGCAAATGTTCGGTGAAAGCTTCCACCGCAAGCAGCTGTTCCGCTGCAAAATTGATCACTTCACCGGGGTCTGGGAGTACGTACAACATCGTGCAGTGTGATTCGATCCAGTTCCAACAACCTACATAGATCCTCCGACATTTGATACCGGTGCATACTAAGATACCTGGCTGCATAACGGCCGCCCATCTGACGGAGAGGAGGACCCTCACATGATCGCAGCACCTACCGCGGTTGAGAGTCCGGAGTATGGACGGCCGCGGTTTGGACATTGGAATCTGCAGGGAGCATTCCAGGAAACGTTCTTGTTAAGTGACAACTTCATTATAGAGGAACTGGCTGCAAAGTTACTCAGAAGCAGAATCTGAGGGCGAGGTCAGCCAGGCCAGATTGGACGCCCCTCCCGCAACAGTAGGAGCACGCCAACCATGTAGCTCCTCGCCCTGATGACCTTCTCTCATCCCAGAAAGACACGAGACAGGTGATCTTTTAATGTTATCCTTACTTCGCTTGCATCGAATTCAGTCGCTCTTACGCAATCCCTCATGGGCGTTTACTGCCGCCCGCGAAGTAGCAGCCTGCTAGCATGAGATCCACCACGATGCCTACGCAGACGCCCAGAATCGCCTTCACCATGCTGTTGGTGGCCCTGCCCTCGTTCCCGAACTCTGCCGCGGACGAGTCCCCGAGGTCGTTCGTGTACCTCCTCGCGGTGACGTGCGTCTTCGTGTTCCTGATCGTCATGACCGATCTGATCTCGATCATGTCCACGTCATACATCACGCTCTTGATGGCCCCGTCGAACCCGGTGCTCTTACGATACGGCCAGGATGTACCCGGGTACTATCCTCGTTCTACTTCCCGTCACCTTCACCAACGCCTCGTTGTTCGAGTGCTTCCTCACCTTTGCGTTAACGTTCATCTCCGGGCCCGTCCACCAGGTGCACTCAACCTCTCTGATATCGCGAGTGACGGCGTCGGGGAACAGCCCGCTCTCCATCTTCTCGAACATTGTCTTGGCGGGGCGCGCGTCCATCCTCACCTCCACCTCCCTGACCGGTCTCTACGACACGGCGTATATCGTGACCATGTTCACGCTCGGGTGCGGGAGGGACTCCATGGTCATGTTGTCCGACGCGTTTGTGATGGCGGCCGTGCTCGCTACCTTCCGGCTGACCGACTCCAGGATCCTGACCAGGTTCCTGCACTTGCATAACACTGGCTCCGGAGGTTCGTCCAGCCCCAGCCTCACGTGTTCGTACCGGCCGTCACCGGGCTCCTGTCCTCGCCGTAGATCGGGCAGATTTCCGGGGTCGTCTCCATGATGTTGTTGATGTGCGACGTCCAGCCGGCCCTCTGCAGCCCAGATGTCGAGCCCGTTGCTCGGGTTGGCGACCGTGGACTTGAGGTGCGCAACCACCTGCCGCCGTGCTAAGCTCGGTCTGCGTACGAACACCAACGAGTGGGTTGAGGGGGTAGATCTAGACCGACATGTAGCTGACGGTCACAACAAGTACGATTGTGTGCAATAACGCGACGGTGAGCAGGTAGATGACCGTCTACCCGTTGACGTACATACTCACGGTTTCTTCTTATTCCTCTTCCTCGCCACGCCGATATCCGCTTCTACGGTGATGGTCGTCGGGTGGGAAGTTGAATGTGGAGCTGGTGGTGGTGGTCAATAGCGGCACTGTCATCTCGTCTATACACGAGTCTCCGACAGCGTCCCCAGGGATACGATCGTCTGCATAGAGTTGTAGTTGCGGATGTCCGTGCCGCTGACGACGACCGCGGTCGAGTACGGCAAGGCGCAGTCGGTTCAGTGAAACCTCATCCTCGCGGACTTGAGGATGTCCTCGTCCACGATGACGCCCCCGTCGTAGAACATAGCGTACTTGAGAATGGGGCAGTTACTCGGGCCCGTGACGATGTTCACACCCGGCTCGTCGACCATGTCGTTGCCTGGATGTGGTATATAGCACTCGTACAGGAACTTGGTTCTGGCTCTCATCTTAGCCCAGTACGGGGCCTGGATCTGCGTCCAGGCGCTGAGTCTGTTCGTGTTCGTGCGCAGGTTCCGGCCGTAATTCAGGTTCGCGTCCACGTACTGGAAGCCCGTGTTGCCCACAAACCAGGTCATGGGTCGACGTTGCTCTCGTTCATGTTGATGATCACGAAGTATAACCTGCGCGGCGGTAGGCCGATAGACTCGTTGTCGTTCACATTGATATCCGCCAAGTTCTTCTTGAACTCGTCGATCGCGTTGCCCATGACGACCATCGTGTAACCCGCCTCGACGAGGTACTCCATTCTGGTGATATCCTCGAACACGGACCTAAGCGCGCTCGTGTTGCCGTACGCCTTGCTAGCCGATCTTAATGATTTCATGACGGTGGCTTTGCACCATTATCTGATCGCGACCACGTTGATGGCGATCGTCATGTGCCTAGGTGCGAAGCTGGGCTTATTCGACGACCCGGTCACGACGAGGGCGGGCGTCGAAGGCTAGCAGGCCTTGGATCGGCACCAAGTACGTGGTGTCGTACAACAATATCAACCTGTGCAATAATCATCGTCCAGAGGTGCAATGTGTGCGGGACGACGACGATACCCGAGTTGATCCTCCACCACGCGGGTAAGGTCAGACTGCTGTGCACGAACATCAACGTGGACAGTGGCACGTTGTTGGTCGTGCACTTGGCCGTCGTGGCGCCTGCCGGGACGAACATCAGCATGTTCGAGGACATGTTGGTGGTGAAGGTGCTGTGCGTGTGCTTCGAGGGCTTTAGGGCGAGGGTCGCGGACAGCAGTGTGAACGTGCATCGTGGTCACAGCTATCGTCGCGGACAGAACATAGTCGGGCCCGTGACCAGTGGGACGACCGTGTACACTCCACGGCCCACCACCCTATCCATGTCCATACGCGTCTCCACCCACACGTTGCAAAAACACACCACGACCACGAGCGCGAACATGAACAGCGTCGAGAAAGAGAGCCCGTTCCTCATCAGGAGGGTGGCCGTGCTCGGCTCCACGATCACGTAGGCGCCTGCAGTCGTGGCGTACGGGTGGACGGAGGTCAAGCTCGAGAATGTGTTCATCTTCGTCTGTAACTCCTGGGATTTGGTCGTTATCTCCTGGTGTACCGTGCACAAGGGCTACAAGCACATGAAGGACCAGAATAGTCCGGCGTACATAATGCCGTTCGGGTTCGCGACCGGGGGCGAGTAGAGGTACAGCTACGTAGCTATGATGAACTCCAGTATCTATAGTGGGGACAAGAACTCCAGCGATGTCGCGAACTACTGCCTGGATAGGATCAAGAGTAAGAGCAGTATCTTGAGGAAGTATGTAACGCGACTAGGCTGCCAAACACGATGAGGTTCGTGGAGTCGCCTATGAGGCTACACCTAGGCGTGCCCTGTCACCCGGGCTTCCCGGCCGACAACACCCCATGGGGCGAGTGGCCCCCATCAGGCGTACGGCCCCCATAGGGCGATTAGGGCGAGTAGCCCCTATAGGGCTAACGGCCCCTAAGTGCTAAGACGGCCCCCATAAGGTATATAT